ATAAACCTAAAAACAATAAACCTGTAATTACAGAATAAATTTAAATCATATTATTTCTTTATATTTATCTCCCTGGAACTGTACTTTTATGAAACATTTTTAAGGAATTGACTTTTCATTTTATAAACAGCCAGAGTATACTATCAGAAATGTCCCAGAGTAGGGTTTGAGATGAGCAAAAAATTATTAAGGTAAAACCAAAGATAATTTCCTTTCTACTCTGTTCATATTTAAAGTTGCCAGTAAGAATGTATTTCACTGAGAAAAAAATACAGCTTCTTTATAAAAGAAGGTAGAAGGGGGGATGTCAGAGATCAAAGGATGAATTTTCAACTGCTGCCTCTTTCTCTCATGCAGATTTGGTGTTCAGATTTATTACTTTTTGACTTCAAATGAGTTCTGGGGTTGCATATGCATTAAAAAAAAAAAAAAAAAAAAAAAAAGTGTTGAGGATGTTTAGAGGTAGCAGTAATGGCAAACTGAGAATGAAGACGTCATTTGCAATATTTCCATAGTGCCAGGAGCTGATTTTTCACACTATTCAAGTTATGAAAGGTGATACACAAATTCTTAATTAAAACTGAATATGTAACAAGCTTGAACCCAAGAGAAGAACAATCCCAATGCTAGAAGAATGTCTGGAGTGTCTTGAGTTTTCAGTCCTCCCCACTTGAAGACAGAATCTGCATTACTGCTGTGATTGTGGAACCCATCAGACTTCAGGACAGCAAATCTAAACACCAAGTAAAAACCTTCACATGGGTATCCTCTTTTCCTGATGTGACAGACCTCTTCACCCACTCAGTGCCCAAGGGTGCTCCATGCAACATTGCCTATTGGAGAGAGAATTTTTTCTGACCCCAGCAGGGTACAGTCTACAGCTATTTGAATCCTCTGGAGAATGTGCTGGGGTCCCTGGGTAATCGTTAAGATATCCCAGTATCCCCATTGTGTAATTTACTGATTGTTTAGATAAAGTTAACTTCTTGTTAACCAGTTATCTTGAAGCAATTATTAACTTAAGACAGGCTAATACAAAAGCCATGTGAATTTTTGCATTGTATGTTACACTATAAATATGTTTATAATTATTTACAACATACAAATTAAAAAATGTGGTTATAAAGGTTCATAGAAACACAGGCAAGAAACAGAAGAAAAAAAGCATGCTTCAGCTTCTTACACCAAATTGCATTTGAAAGCTTCTCACTAATGAATGCAACCTGAGATGAAAACACATGAAAACCAGCTTCCCAGCTAAGGAGTCTGTTAAAAACAGATCCCCAGAAAGGCAGATGGACAGAGGGAACATAGTCCCTAGAGAATCAGAAGAACAAAAGAGAATATCCCCATTGAAGCTGTGCTGGCTTGCATGAGAACTCCTTTCTCACAAATCAGGCAAGAAAATGCTCTCTGATATGTGCAGAGGTACTGGAAAGTCCACCCAAACCCTGGGAGTCACTCTCAGATGATTAAAATGAAAATGTAAAAAACCACCACTACCACTACCACAGCAACAACAACAAAGCATTATGGCAAAGATCCACCAGACAGCCAACCCTTGATGAAGAATCATTTCAAACAGGAATACAACCTTAAGGATATACTAGTTAGGCTCCTGACCGCTTATGGGAAAGAGAGACACACACCAAAAGAAAAAGACCTTGGTGAACTTTTAGAAAAAAATTCTCTTGCTTTAATCTTATTTTTTGGCTCTTGAGCACAAAAGCATTACCTCTTCAGTTCCCTTAACAACAAACCAGAAGACAAAGAGGGGTCACTGACTAATGTGGTTATATGGCCACTTTCTGCAGTCTATGCTGTATCTGAAGAAATGAGAAAAATCACAAACTGGATCACACAGAACAATTTAATTCTTTACTTGGCATTGGTAACTCAGAAGTCTGTAGCCTGTCTGGCAAGTGATCTTTCATTGGTTTATTATACCGTCTCTGCAATTCTCCCTACAGGGCAGGTCAGTAATAAGGTACAAGATCTTGCTTCCGGTGGGAATTGGATGTCAAGATAGAGTTGGACTTTAATGTGTTCTAACACTTTAAAATAAAAAGAAGATGACCACAAAACCCACAAGTGCTACAGCAAAGAAAAAGCTTGTTTACAAGGTCAAAGTGAAGAGCAGTTCAGAGAGTGAAACGGCCTCTCAGTTTGGATTACTCCAGGAACGGACTGAAAGTCCTGTTGTGAGCATTCAGGATGGATACCAGGTGCCTTTCCAGCCCTCCATCTCAAGGTTACCTGACTGATCCTGTCTGCTGGAGTCCTTATTAAATTGGGCATAGGGAACAGTTCTAGAAGAACTTCCTGGAGTCCTTCCACACCAAGTTTCCCGTGGTTCTGCAATGCCCCCTCAAAAACCCCAAATAGCCAGCACAGGAAGAATAGAAACAGACAGGCATTTGTTGACAAAACAGTGCCTTAGTTTAGTTTACTCCTGATGAGGATTGGGAGGAAAAAAAAAAACAAAAAACAAAAAACAAAAACAAAAACAAAACAAAACAAAAAAACACAGGAAGGTACCTAGAAGTAATATTTCTGAACTGCTACTTTATCCTTCTCATGCTGTTAACCATATCCCCTTCTGACATGGCCTGATAAACACTGCTCAACTTAAGCATCACAGATCTTTCAGTAAATTATAACAACGGTGCTTTAATGTAATTCCCACTTTGGAAACAATTTGAATATTTGGCAAGTTTTTAGGTCAGACCCTTATAGCTGAAAAGAAAAAATGTGATCAGACAGCCACATTAATGCAGACAATGCAAATAAGAGCAAGAGAAAATTTCTACTGCAGTCATGTATGATACTGAAGTTAAGACAATATCACCTCTGGAAAACCTTCTCATTAATTATATAACCCTATACCATTGCTGTCTCCAACAAGTGACTGATTCTGACAACTTTAAATCTTTGGTGTCAGTCTGCTCATGGTCTTTGAATGCCTCTTGATGCTTGTGCAAGTCACAGACATTTGCAGCTTCAGTACAATGACATGATCAAAAGAACATTAAGTGACAAGATAAGTAGTCCAGATAATAGCCCCTGGCAATACTAGGTGTGCATGTGTCAGCTGAAGCCCTTGAAATACAAGATTTCTGCATATCATCCATTTAGCTCAAGCATTACTAAAGATAGTGGGGAACACTCAATGATTTTTCTGAGTTTTCAATGTTACAGTGCCATCCTACATATTTTAAGATTTTAAATTAAATACTGTTCAGCAGGAGGCACTTCACCAGCATTCTTCCTCTCTCATGCAACCAACAAGACATACAAACAAAGCCTTTGTGACTGAAGACTAACTCCAGTGATTTAGACACAAAGTACATGACATGTGGTTAGACTAAACAAATATCTTTTGGAAAACATCCACTCTAAGCTCAGCATCCCAAATAATAGAGAATTTTCCAAAAGCCATAGCAAGCTACTTCAATGGTGAAAATCCGCCATCACAAAAAGCTCTCTCTCTGCAAAGAGACTAGATAAGTATCCTTTTCATTTAATTTTTTTCGGTCTTCCTCTTTTAACTATGGGATATTGTTACACACTTCAATGCTTACAAAAGAACTTAAAGACTCTAATTATAGGCCGCAGGCAAACTGCCTTCTAAATTTCTCTTTGATGAGATAAGTGCATGAATACCTTAAATTTCTCAGTATAAGTTTTTTTTAAGCACCTCGAATCATTCTCATGATTATGTCCTTCTCTTGTCACTTCTTTTGTAAATATCTCATTTTTAAAAATCCTTTTACTCTACTCATATTGTACATGGTCTGCATATCCTACCTACTTTAAAATATCAGTTCCCTGTTTCTACTGAGTTAAACTTCCTTGTGGCATTGACAGTGGTTATTTTCACAGACAAAACTGGATTAAAAACTGCTGTTATCTGCCCAGAAGGAAGAGATCAGAAAAAGTTTGTATTACTTTTAGCTCGATTATAGCTAACATTATAATGGCATAACCTTAGTTCTTAGCCTATTAGCACAATTATTAGCATGAGTTGCAAAACATACCTGAGGCACTGAGCAAATGATTTGGCTATTAGTCTCTGTTTGCGTAGCCACGCCCTAAGCAGTATACAAATAAATTAAAGCTTGCTCAGGTATACCTCTGAGTGAAAAGCAGCCAAATCCTTAATCATAAATGTTGCCTTTCAAAATCTCTTCTATTTTTTCTCAGAAGTATCCCTCTTTCAGTCTACTTGTTATCACATTTTTTTTGTTTATAAACTGGCATATCAAAAAAAAACTTGTTCACTAAACTTTCCTTGGCTGAACAAGGCAAACACTAGAAAAATGCATCAGTATCAAGTTGTCCTAAAAAGAGGCCTTAATTTTGAAATTTCATGGGCGTCTGTGGACTACTCATGAGAAAAAAATTATTTTCCCTAGCATCTCTAGGAGCTATTGCTGTGTCAGTTGCTGTTACCTTCCCCAGGTTAAAAAGCATTGACTTGGATGAAGAAATATGACTGAAAATTAAAGGACAACTTTGTTTAAGAAGCATTTCTATTTACTCTGATGGGAATTTTCATGTAGTATGACAGTGAAACATAACTTAACGGGTTATGTCATATTCTATGAAGTCATCAGTGCCATTGAAGATATTGGAGGTGTATTAAAATAATACATGGAAGCAAGCATATCTTGAAAAATTTCTGTGGCTGAATAAACTCCAGATGTTAGGTTTTTATACCATCTCAGACCAGTATGTGCTGACATATTTGGCAGATAGAAAGCAGAAGCTTGTTGCAGCTGGTGATATCCTTTGATGAGATCAAGCTTAAGGAACACAATAGTACCATTCAGTGTAGGAATTATGTCATTTACTGTTGGTGAGATATGGTTCTCTCTTTACAGTGATCTTTCTTTATTCCCTTTGCAGGAGTTTTTGGAGCCATGCAAATTCATCCCCTCCTACGATGCAATCTCTTCATTTCCTAAGACCCATGTAAAAGAGATTTCAGCAGAGTCCTGTCCCACACCTCCTTCAGCTTCTGCTGTTTCATCCTGCTGCCAACACTGGCAAGGACCCACCACTGTTAATTTCCATCAGCTATTTCTTCATCTGCAGGTAAAAACTCCTTATCGTGGCAAAATGAGACCCTACATGTCTTGGCTTGTCTTATTGTATCATATTTGTTGTATGCTTCTGTCAAGATTGTCTTCCCAATATCTGGTCAGACAATGAGAGCCTAAACATTAAGGTTAAACTTTCCTCTTATGAGTTCCCTCTTTAATTAGCCCTATGTTGATCAAAGTAGTGCTTAATAATCACATAAGATGTGAATGTCTTTTAAGCTGTTTTTACAACCTTCTTTCAAGAATGAAGCTGTATGAAGGAACTAAGTTTTTGTCATCTGAACACGGTTTTTTGTACTGTGGTATTTGCACTCCAGTACAAAGTGGATCCGTGCTAATGTTAAACCACTCTTACTAGAATGTAGTTTAAATACCTAAATAGGGGCCAATCACCATCATGACAGACTTATTAACACATATGACAACAAGGCAAGACATTACCTTAAGGTAAGAGAGCATGCAGGTAATTTAATTATTTCAAGCAGGCTGAGTCTGATGACTTTTCTTATAGGGCGTTGAGGGAATCAGATGAGGAACCTTCTGAATCTTTATTTCTTTGAAAATCCAGAGTTCATGGGTGAAGAACCAGAAGAGGTGAAAAGGGCAAATGTAATTCTTTAAAAGGGAAGAGGGGGAGAGGAAATGAGAGGTACCAGATTAAATAGTCATACTACTTGTACCATATGGATGCCAGGAAAAAACCAAAAAAACAACATTAATAAACAGGCAACAGATTTGTCTAGAAGAAACCAAGGCAAATCAAATAAACTAGCTTTTATCATGATTCCATGAACGCTCTTACTCTTAAAAAATATCATGACTTAATTGTAGCATTTGATACCATTTCATACAAAATTCTTATAAGCAAATTCTAGAAGAAAATACTATGAACTGCTTGAAAACGAACAGAGACATTGATCCTGAAGAGTATTTATTGGTTCCTCCTGTTAAAGTGAAAGAATCTCTCAAGTCAGATTTTACATGTGGTTTTCAATATTTTATTCATTTGATTGTAATTATTTTCATTTGGTTGCAAGCATTTTCCTTAACAAAATGGATGACAAAACAAAGTGTACAAATTAAATATGCATACAATAATCCTCAAATACCTGCTGGTGAAAAGGAATAGACTAAAAATGATCTTGATATTTTGAAAGAAAAAAAATAAGGCTGAGAGCTATACTTTCCTTTGGCAGGAATGATCAGCTTCACAAACACAATCATGGAGCTTGTGGTTGGAGAGAAAAGAGTCTAGGAATGGATGATGGCTCAAAAGTTTAACCTGCTGTTACAAAAAAGAGCTAACACTACACTGGGACACCTAAAAAAGTCTTACATCCTGAAAAATAAGTGAAATGGTTTTCCTGCTTTATTGGTACGACCTTAATTGGAATTTTGTGCCCAGTTTTTTGCACATGACTTCAAGAAGTGGCTCAACTGAAGAGAAATGAGGAGAGGGAAAAAAAAAAAAAAAAAAAAAACAACCAGACTACATAATTTGCAAGGAATGAATGAAATCCTGAAGAATTTTTTTTTAAATATTTCTTTGACATATCTTGAGAAAGTCCAAGACTCAGGAAGGTCTCAAGATGAAAAACCATGAACTTGCTTTTGAGCTCATCACAGAAGAAGCAAAAGGTCAAGATTACAATCTCCACATGGTGTTACATGCAAAGGAAAGTAATATATTTTTTATTGTACATATGTATTGGCTGCTTGCCTGTTAAGTAGTAACCTCTAGCTTTTCAGAGTTTTTCAAGTCATTGTATGCCTATCACTCTGACTTGTAATTATTATATGGGTCATTATTTCACATTACAAAATCTTTTTATAATAGGAACTTTGATATTTATTAACCAATTGATATCAATATATTCTCTCAATCCCATATCATGGAATGAATTGGAAAATACATATATGGAATATATAAAGATAGATATAATATACTAATTTTTTTTTTTTTTTTTTTTTTTTTTTTTTGTTCCTCTTCTTATAATTCTACTGTGGAACTTGCATTCTTTCTTTCTTGACATACTGTCCCGTTTGGTGCATCATGCTCAGATCAACTTGTTAGCCCAAACCCAAGCAGAAGTAGTCAGGTAACATGGTATGAGGCAAGTAACCATTTAGAAGACCTGTTCCAACAAAAACTACAAGTTTTGAACATTCATCCCTTCAACCTCTGCAATCTTTCATTTCATGGAGCAACACCTTTATTTCATTTTCATGTTTCCAGCCTCTGTAATTCCATGGGTAGATTCGGTGCATAGTGGGGAGATTCAATGCATACACATAGGCAACTAACACCTAAAGGTATTCAGAAGTATATGTACACCCACAAATATCCCAGCTGTCCTCCATCTATGCTCCAAAGAGAATAGGTGTCTCATAGATCCTTTTATATATTTGACAGCCTCAAAGAAATGCCTCTTGACACCCAGAAGTGTCTAAATCAGTATTAGAGAGACAGAATTAGGAACCTGAATCGCTCCCAATGTCTCATACTCCATGAGCTTGCCACATATTTTTAGTAAAAGAATGGTTTTATTCATCTCATAATTTTATTTACACCTCATAATTAAAACAAATCCATGATCATTTACTGAAGTCTCATTTATACACATTGTTATTTGTAATAAAAGTATCATAATGGCACAGAGCAAAACTACACTTTCATGAAAGTCACTATCACACAAGAGGGGCATTTCACTAGCTGTTCATATTTCTCCAGTCTATAATATTTTGGTAGCACAGGACAAGGTCAGTTAGGTACATGAGTCGGCACTGGAGCATTAGTGCAGATGCAGAAAGCTGCGTACTACTCTATGCCAGTTTACAACCTGCTTCGCTCATGCTATGGTATTTGCTGCTCCTGATGTTGAGATTACGACTGGTGCAAACACCTCTACTGCACGGACCACCAAGCCACATAAGCATTTAGAAAGTCTCTGAACAGCAGCCTCCCACAGTCTGTAAATCTCTGTCTTGCTCACATGCATGCTGGGCAATTATCAGTAAGTGGTTTTAATTTGAAGCAAGTATTGCTTAACAGATTACAGGCTCCTCCTTTCTTAGTATTACATGTGTGGTACACCCATTGCATTTATTCACACTCTTGGTACACTCTTCTACTGGGGCTCAGCAAGCATTTTATCTTCCTACTTATTAGGTGGTTGCATCCCTTGTCACAGGCTATACAAAAATTGCAAACAGCATCATGAGGAGAAGTCACCACCTTTTCCCCCACATGGGCAAGTTGGAGTGAGAACACAGCTGAGCATATCACACCTCATCCCCTTGCTTTTCTGCAGCAGTGTCAAGCATGACAATAATGCGCTGGGCAACACCTTGCACAGGACACATCCCTCTCAGAAGAGTGGTGAAATGCAAAGATGCCTCAGATCTTGAAGTGGGAATAGTGCAACCACACCTTATCCCTTTCCTACACCTCACTGAAGAGAAAATGAAATGCTGTCAGTCACTACAGAAAAAGAAGGAACTCTAGGCAGAGAGAGCAGTTTCCCTTCTGTTTAAAGCAAAGACAACACTATGGCACAGAGGACAGTACCATAAGTAACTTTTTGGTTGAAGTCACCAAGAATGATCTATGGTTTAAGGAGTTTAAAAAGGACGTGTTAAAAGTCATGTCCAGATGGAGACACTAAAGGAAGTGATCATTCAGAGTGATATTATCCAAGGGTCTGCAATAAGGACACCTCTGAGGCAATTCACATCTTCCTCTGATGACACGTAATTGCTCTCCCTCTTCTGCTCCTTGTGGGTGTTGTGATCCTGGATTAAAAGGGTCTCAATTAATTGACTTTTCCTTTCTCCTGTAGAGTTTTAGGTTACATAGACATCCAAACACTCATTTAACATCTATAATCTGTCTTAATGTAACATACGTTAATGTTATAAGATTGGTAAGCGCTCACAAGCATATACACAAAGCTGAGACCCTGAGGCTCAGTGTTACGTTCTAAAGAACATACAATCATCCTCTAATTCTTTGTAGGGTGTTTTGTAAATATCTGCTCTCCTGTTCATAGTCTTTCCAGTTGACAATCACTGAATTAATTCCCATGGTTCATTATCTTGACTAAATAATAGCTGTTGATTTTAAGAGTGCAGAAGTTCTTCCACAATATCCTCTAAAATTGCAGGTCAGGTTACTCTGCTATTCAGGCTCTGCACATCTGATCCTCGAGAGAGATCAGCAAAGAAACCTTTCACCCTCATACCACAAATCATTCTTCCAGGTCCTTCAGTAAATAATGCAATTTGATTTATAGCAATGAAGCATATCAGGAAGGGAATCAGAGGTAAGAATTGTCAACAGTAGATATTGCCACAACCAGAAGCCACTAATTGCATAGTGGTAAATCTGCTTTCAGAAGTTCTTTGCAGCTCGCGGTAACTCCACAGGTTGCTGAGTAGCAATGGTAGTTGTACATAGCAACTACTTTTCCTGTTTAAATAAACCGCAAGTACCCAGAGACTGTAACAATAAATCACAGACGAGAATTGGAACTTCATTCAAGGTGTTATTTCACATTCACAGCCAGCTTTTACTTGGCCTTTCATTTTATTTTTTTTATTTTGCTAATATTTATTTCTCCTTACTTACAATTTGGTCAATTCCTTTATTTGATTTCCCACACAGGCATCTCTCATACCTCTGCCAAAAAGCCTAGCAAAAATGTTATTTTTCCATTTATGTTAAAACAACACTAAGCAAGGTCCACAGTTGTATGTGTATTTGCTAGCTACCTTGAGCAAAAAGGGAATTTATGGGTTTGATTTTGACTTTATTTTACTGTGTCAAATTTTCCACTAATGCATTCACTACATTGTCAATATTTTTTAGTAAATTATTATATTGTTACCCATTTCATGAGTATACCAATGAATAAGACTTGGGTTTGCTCATGTTTGGCTGAGTCCTTCTTTTAGAAAAAATTACTCTATGTCTTTACTTTTATTTGTGTAATTTTTTTACCATAGTTTCTACAAAGTTTCTCTGGTATGAAATTAGTGTCCATCTTTCCTAACCATAGATACCCTTCATGATAACAAGTATGGGCTCTGTGCATCTTTGTTTACCACTGAAAATTTTCTTGTGTCTGAACCCATAGTCTGCAGTTAATAAACTCTGAGTTAATGAGCTGATATTTCTATGTTTACATGTTTTATTATATAATAAAACTGTGATAATAGGTATATTGGTGGTTAAAAAAGAGGAAAAGAGACCAAAAGAAGGAGTGAAACAAAGAAACACTTTGTCCTAATATTATAGATAATTCTGTCAGTTTTATCAGACTGATAATAAATAAGAGGACAACCAGAGACAATACTTTCCAAACTTGTAAATAGTGAGCAATAAAATACATGTACTAACACATGGGGTGAGTTTTTTTTTATTGTATATGTGAAAATCACCTGCATAACTGGCATACTTTAATATTGTCCTGGGGACTTCACACTTGGCCTTTCTCCTTGATTCTCCAAAGCAGAGAAAACACATTAGATCTTCTGCTGTTCTATGGGGTATTGTGAGCCACAGCAAAGTGCATTGCTGGCAGTGACCTGCCAATAATAGTCACTGCTGTTGGCTGAAAAGTGGATGGAGAGCCTGTCTAGAAGAACATACATGAACCATGAACTCAAGCAGTTTGCTTATTCATTTGGTCAAAGAGATGGTGGGGTGAAAGCTTGGCAAGGAATGAGCCTCTGCCCAAAGAGACAAGCTTTAGAGCTGGGGTTTCAGAGTGCAAATGGCCTCCACCTGCAGAGTCCCTCAGAGATGACTTGCTCTGCAATATCACCCTTACAAATAATCAACCTCAGTCCCATTCTTCTCTCTCTGGACAGACCTGGCTCCAGCTCTAAGAAGATGAAAGCCTCACAGACAGCCTTCCTGGAGAGTTGAATCCTCAGCATGACAGAAGTCCAACAGGTAAATATCCTGCTGAAGCTGGTGTTCAATCTCTCCCCGAAGCTGGGAGATGCCGTATCCTCTCAGGAGAGAAGGGGGCACTGCGCACATAAGTGAAGTACCAAAAAGAAAATGGTATCACAGGAGATAAACAATGCAATGGTCTTTTCATCTCAGCAGTGCAGGCAAAGCACGGGAAAGCTGCCTCCAGCCCCAGGGGAATGGGAACTCGGACCCTCACTGCTGGCAGGGATCAACAAGATGAAAGGGGAATGGAGCAGCAGCTGAAACAACAGGAGCAATGGAAGCGGGAGAGATGGGAGGGGAAATGAAAACGAGAAACAGCGGCTGCTAAAGCAGACAGAAACAATTCAGGCTTTATTTCCTGAACGTATGGATTTGAATTTTCCTCTTAGTAAACAGCATTTGGGGAACAGGAATGAGCAATGTTCTGAAAAACTGTTTCAATATGATGTATGTCAGAAACTGGAAGTTATGAAGTACCATCCTGCATACAGCTCTTTCTTAGTCATAGGTCCTGTATACCTCTGGATTTGTTTTCACAACGTTCACTGTCCAACAAATGAAGGCATACAGCACACAGGCAGCACACGCAGTATCTCTACCTTTTTGGACTCATGGTTTTGACATTTTGGTGCTGAAGCTATCAATGCCGTAACCGACCTTTTGGAGATAAAATGTTAACTTTCTAGTACCAAGTTGGGTTAACCCATCTTTGGTATCTAAGCAAAGCACTTGTGAAGGCTCCCCCCTTTAAAATTCTTCATATTATATTGGTTTGCTTTTTTCAGAAAACTGAAGGGAGACGTGCCTGTGAATTGCAAGCTGTTTGAAAGCACAGCACTGTCCCCCTTTGCAGAGCATTTCCTCATAATATATTGGAGAGAAATGATGGGAAACATTCACGGAAGAATAAATATTAACTGACCTCTTTGGTTTCTTTCTCCCTCTGTCTAAAATTTTTTCTAGCACGAAATATTTATTTCTTGTTGTCGTGATTATAGTTTGTTCTAGTTGGGATATTTTGTTACCAGTATTAAGTTCCCACCTGAAGCAGTGCTAACAGACCATTCCCTTTGTCAGTTCCTTGAAGTCTGTGATTCCCTTGTGTTGCATTTCAGACTTCAAACTCAAACTTAGAGTAGGTTTTTTTGTGGTCTCTTGACATTTCTCTATATTCTTCCAAACTGTTCAGATGAAATTTTTCAAGTGATACTGGTTTTCCAACAGAAAGCTGAAGCTTTGACTTACAAATATTAATCATACTAACAACAGACTTACCAAAAACATTGGGTGATTGATTGACTGACTGTCATAAAATGGCATCTCCCCAGAAAACACTTTAGCTAGAAGCTGAGATATTTCTCTTGGGATGTGTGGCTCTAAGGTGAGGAAGGTGCAAAGGGAAACATTGTCATCCCCCTCCACTCAAAATGGGTACATAGGAATTAGACTACCAACATGACATTTGACTTAAGATAAATTTTATCTTAATTCTATTTATTTTCTCAGCTTCTAGATGTCCTATTTTTGATGTATTTTGTTAACATTTCTTACATCTGCTCTACAACCACAGACACTAAGAAAGAAAGATTCATACATCAGAGGAAAAAAAAAAAAAAAAACAATCTGGTCCTTGCTCTGCAGTTGGCACTTATGCATTTCCTTTCAGTCAGGTCTTTTTTTTTCCATTTTATGATTTTTAGGATTTTGACAAATGATCTTGGGACATTTGTGTCTTGTGAACTCCTATAATCCATTTTTCACAGTTATGATCATATAAAGATTACAAGGTCTCAGGTGAACTTAAGTTTTAGAAATCTATACTTCATGGATGTAGCTACTCCTCTCAACAGGCGTAGATTTAAACATCAGCTTTTGGGCTTTCCTGAAATAGGACATGGTATAAGTAAGTGCCTTAACTTATTTGAACTCATAAGACTACACTGATTTATACCTCATAAATATTTGTCCCCAGACTAATTCCCTGACATTACAAGTCACATGCTTCCTCTCCCCTGTCTCTGTGAACAGCCAGCAGCATGAACAATGATAATAAGTGATGACCAGATCAGTAGACACGGCATGTAGAGTTAGTAGCCAGATGCTGTTATGCTCCTGTGTCATATCAGCCAGTGTATTAGCCAAAACCTTGATCTTACACTTACTAAGCAACCTTTTCCACTTGTTAAGACACATCTTCCAGGACTGGCTGTGGCTGCTTTGCCCCATGTAGACTCTGTTTTGGAAGATCCCTGTACAGATCTGGAATACCTCCACTGTGGGTGCCATCGGGATAACATCCTTTCTCTCATGTGAGTTTCATTACGTGATCCAGCTGATACAAATATGAATATGGTGTTTCTCAAATAATAAATTATAGAAAATTTCATCAGTCCCTTAAACCACTGAATTGACTGCTTTCAATTTCTACCTCAAGGACAGTTTTTCATTTTAAGATTTTTTATTTTTCCACAAAACCTGGTGGGATTACAACATGAACAAATTGTATATTAGAAACCCATTCGCAGAGGAAATAATATGTTATAAATCTTGAAAGAATTGATAAGAATCCAAAGCAGTCCCCAGTCCAGTTATAAATTCACCATCTCACAAAGGCAAAATAACTCATTCCACAATTTGCTCACAAACTACTCATTCTTGAAAAAATCTAAAGTAATGGCAGCTGGTAAAATAATTAGGATCATACAGACATAATTACACTGTGCATCTGCAACTGTTCTACCACCATCAGACTACATAGTTAAGTACCCAGGAAACAGCTGGATTAAGCCTGTTCTCAGCTCATTTTAGGATGTGAAACTGACAGAAAAATGCCTCCAGCTTGATAAATTTTCCTGGGCATTTGGATGTGGTCACAGAGGTAGCAGGAAGAACAGGAAAGATTTAATACCTTCAACCTAGTGTGGTCGTAGTTATCCCTTACACAACACAAAACAAAGAAAACTATACCTTTTATTATCTTAACATTTCAAATAAAAATATTATTAAATATCATCTTTCTTTCTTTTCAGGGTTGCACTTATTATACTGGGCTCAGACTGGGGAATACTCAGCTATCAGGTCTGACACGATTTAGAGCTAGAACATAAAATGTAATTTCCTTCATTCTGGTCCAGTTTCTGCCTTTATCTTCAGGGGAATTTGGATTACAGAGGCTTTCCAAATAGGCAAGGTTCTGACCCGGCACTGACACAGTCCCTTCCTTGAACAGCTTATATTCAAAAAGGTAGAAGACAAAGAGTGTAAGAAAGCAACCTGCTGCACAAAGTCTCCAGAATCATGAAGGTCATATAACTTCATTAACACACTGTTTTCTATTACTCATATGTTTTTTTAATGTTTTCACTTGTAAAAGTCTTTCCCTTCCCCTACTCTCTGAGCACACAACTCTCCAGGACCCACATCCATGCAGTTGCTCGTCATTGTTGTCCAGGGCTTTTTTGCACACAACCATGCTTGCCTCAAAATGGTAGCTCATGGGATGTGCTCTTTCCTGAGATCAGGAAAGGAAAGTGACAATCTAAACAACTTCAGAATATATTGCTCACTTGATGATTGCTCTAAATACCAGGTCTTGGAAATGTCCAATGTATTGTAAATGTCAGAGGCCTAAATGAGCTACAACTGATCAAAAACACAACATTGTCTATAACTAAAACCTATAAATCTTGCAAAACATACAGAAAGATGTTGGTAAACAATGGGACATTTCCCATTACTCTGTCCCTCAAGAAGAGCAATTGGCTTAGGGACCTACAGACACCATCAGAAACGTATTTTCAGATATGGTCACAAGGGTGACAAGACAGCAAATACCAAAAGTGGAAGTGTGTCTTCTCAGAGGATATATAGAAATAAAAGTTGATAGTATCACATCATAACAAATTCAATATAGACCCTAAAGTAACCCTAAAGTCACATATTCAACAATCTGAAGTCCTGAAAATGTATTGCTCAAGACATTAGTATTACCTGAAAAATTAAAAACACAATCTTTGGGGTTCTCTTTTCGAGAAAAGCCACAAGTACCTGGAGGAATGCAAAGGGACATTTTACATAGTTGAATATTAGAAAGTCTACACTGCATGTCTTACAAAAAAAGCATTACATCTACTGCTATTATATTGACTACGTATGCAAAATCTCCATATTATTTATATTCAAATTATTAGACCAAGATGCCAGATGAATAAGATGAAGAGCATTTGCCCCTTCTGTTTAACTCAGTAACAAAATCTCTTTTTATATGTCTCTTCTTTTCCCTTTTTTCTTGAAGGGTTGAGATATTTTCTGCATCACCAAGCTGTTTCTGGCACTAAAATTTCACACTTACAAGAGGTAGCAAAGGCTGTGACTCTTCCACATTTGTGCAAATTGTAATTTAGAGCACAACAAGAAGAAACTGCAGTTTTTTCTAACTGAAGTCTCAGTAAAACTCTTTAAGTGAAGTATTCAGAAGGCAAATCAGGTATCTGAAGGTACTGCTACCTACTCCTGTGGATATTTTGCTGATCACCTCCAACAAGAATATTTAGCTTTCTAGACATGCTCATCATATAAGAAAAAAAGCAGGTTCTCTCTCTCCAGAAAATACTTAATATAAAATTTCTTGATTAGAAAGTGTATTTTATCATAGCTGCAGACAGGTACCCTTTATGAAGTGTTTTCATTAAAGTTTTCCTAGTACAAAATACATGTGGGAGATTAATAACTCCTTTCCCATGTATCTCTCCTTTTCTCAAACTCAGTTTCTTTTGTCAAGACTTTTCCCTAAGCAAATAATAATCTGCTTGGTCTCCTAAGTAAATAAAATATGCTGATAGTGTCTTCTGGTAAATAAAGTATGCTGATAGTGTCTTCCAAACATGGGGTACCTTGAAAATACAGAAGATTATGAAGTATAAAAAGTTATCACACACTGTAAGAAAGGAATAAGGAACAGATAGTGGAAATCTCCATAACTGTGACTTTGGATGAAGTCAAGATTTTAAAGACATTAATAACAAATTAGATCAAAAAGTGTAATTAGACATCTGAGCTGATTAAATGTCATATAATAGTATTACTTATGGAAAGGAGTATTAACTACCACAGAAGAAGTGTTATGAGAACAGCTTAGGTGATGGGCATATGTATCCTGGAATTCAAAGCAGAGTTTAGGTTGTTTTGGGGATGGACAAAAGAACCTGAACAGGCCTCAGAAGTTAATGACAGAGCATTATCTAAAATAAGGAAGATAATCAG